ATCTGAAGACCATGACATCTGGTCACAAGAGTTCACCAACAGACCAGGGTAGCGGGGTGCCGACCCGGTACTGCAGGCTGACCGTGGCCTTGGGCCTTGGGGGTGTGGGCCTGGTATTGCAGGCTGAGCCTGACTTGGGCCATGGGGTTGGGCAGACCCAGTTCTGCACCAGCCAGCTGGCTCTCCAGCTGCTAGCCCACTTTGGACAAGCTACTTAACCTCTCCTTCCCTCAGAAATGGGGGTATTCTTGGTTCCCCCTTCACAGGATTACATGCAGGGCACCAGCAATCTCCTGGCAGCATTATATGTTCAATGAATATTAGCTGCTAGTAAGAGGAGGATGTAAAACAATTATTTAAAGTGCGGTCAGCACACAGGCTGCGATCCCTAATTTAAACATCTGCCACATTCTGAGGTCACTTCTGGGCTGCACAAGGCCACAGGAAATGGACAGAAGCACTAAATTGCTACGTAGAGACTGCTGCTCACATTTGGCCTTCAAATATTTGAGCTGTTTGCTGGCAAAGAAAGGACCCCATTTCTATTCCTGCTGGTTATTGGGAAGAGGCGGCAACATCCTGGCCGTAAAGACTGAAATTTGTGCTTCAGGAGGAAAAGAGGACTGCGGAAGGGGAGCAAAGTGACAGGGACAGAAGTGACAGTAACTGCAGGCTTGGGCTTTCCTAGAGAGGTGAAGTAGTGCAGATACAGTCAGCTGTTCACACGCACACACATGAAACACACACACGTGTGCACAAGCTCGTGTGCACACGTCCACGTGCGTGCACACACGTGTGTTCTCACACACGTACAAGCACAGCCTGAGAGTGCAGACCACAGCAGAGAAGAAGCAGGCGCACTCTGGGGGCACAGGGGGCCTCAGGAGGAGCAGCTCTGAGAGTGACCAAGAGTGGTCACTCAGGGGCCGGGGTCAAGGTTGGCCACCAACACAGGGCCAGTCCTTCTCCACACCCCATGGGCCACCCAGGCTGCTCTTGCCTCCCCAAACTGGAAACAGCCTGGGTTTCCAGACCACTGAGATCTGAAGCTGGGAGCCCAGAGGGTGAGGTCAGGGCTAGACTCGACCCCTTTGAGGCTCTGGCTCCCACAAGTGACAAGTGAATGGGGCCCCCTGACCTCCGGCAGAGGGCGCTGCCTCCTGGCCACGTGGGGCACCCTGATAGGTGGCCATGTACTGCAGTTCTTTCCCTTCCTCCTGGCAGTTTCTGACAGCCACTTAGCCTCATCATACCTGGAGAAAATGCAGCTGTGGGGAGGAGAGCAGGCAGCCCCCAGGGAGAAGGTGGGGGCCCTGGTGGGTGGGGAGTTAGCAAAGTCTTTCAGATCATACTCAATTGTCTTTTCTTTCCTTACCTCTTCTTGTGCCTGCACAGCTGCAGGAGGGACAAAGCAGAGGGGGCAGGGGAGAAGGAGGACCTGCTCTGGGTGGCTGGTGGCCTGCAACTCCCAGACCCCGCCTTGACTTCCTCCGGATGAGAGTGTCCGGCACAGTCTTCAGACCAGAGGCTGGGACAACACCTTCCAGGCCCAAACACACTCAGGGGCTCTGAGCACCCTGTAGGCTGCAGCAGCGTCTTCTGACCCACAGTACTGCATGCCTAGGAAAGTCACGATGTCCTCTTGCCTCAGTTTCCCACCTGTAAATGGGGGTGCTAACACAGCACCTACTTCCGCAGACTGAATACACATGCCAGCAAAGCACTTAACAAGTGCCAGCACAAATCTGCATTTACTCCAGAGTGCCTATTAGCATAGCGGATATTTGTGAAAGAATGAACCATGGGGACAAAACACTGAGTCAGAACTGTCCTCTCCCCACAAACCCCCTTCTCCCATAGAGGGCACCTCCTCCCTTTGTGACTGCCAGAGGACCTGGGCAGCAGCAGACTTCTGAAAAAGGCCAGAGAGTGGCTATTTTAGGCGTTGCCACTCGGCCCTCACTGCAACCACTCAGTTCTGTGGGTGAGGCGATATAGAACTGAATGGTGTGGTCATGTTCCAATAAAACTTTATTTGCAAAAACAGGCTGCAGGTGACCTGGTGCTGCAGAAGTTCAGCTACCCCAGGCTCATGTTGGGCTCCAGAAGGTGTGCAAGCACCTCTGGCTAACAAGTCCTGCCCCTCCTTTCACATCTCTGCAGACAGAGGCTGAGGGTCGCCCCTGTTCTTCTGTGATAGCTCTGACTGCAGGTGGAGGGGCGCCCCTGGGGGGAGGCAGGGCCGGGACCCTAGCATAGCATCTCCAGCCGGAAGCAGCAGTGGGGGGCAGTGCCGAGCAATAATAACAGGAACTGGCCCGGAGGGCTATCAGCTCACTGAAACAACAAGTGGAGAATGATGGTGCTGGAGCAGAGGCAGCCTGCTCCCCAGGCCTCAGCTCCCGGGATCCAGGGTCAGGGCGCCTGACACCTCTGCTCTCTGTGCTGCCCGGACTCACGTGACCCAGATGGGGATACCCCTGGCTCGCTGGCCTGGCTCTTGAGAAATTAAAAAAGGGTGAAGAGGCAGGTTGTAGCTTGCACAGCTGTGGATGTCCATGAAAAGGGATGCAAATAACTGATAACACTGCCTTTGGTTTTCTAAGCAGCTGTGATGAGCCAGGGGCTCTAGTAGTGCTCAAATATGAGGAGAAAGCAGGGAGACAGCCTATTTCCTGGCTGGGGTCCTGCCATCCTACTCTTACCATTTGGAAGAGGACTCATGCAGCACCCTAACACAAGGGCAGAGGAGAGAAGAGACACGGGTCTCTTTTGGGCCTAGGCCCAGATGGCAGTCCCCAGAGGCCCATGTCCACAACTGCCATCTCGGCACCTCTGCCTCCTGGAAGTGGCCTCACCAGGGCACACTCCATATTCTGGACAGGGGAGTCCACTTCTTTTTCCTCCAGGCAACTGAACACTCAAGTACAGGCCTTCCGACACCTTGAAGGGGCTGTCACCAAAGGGACAGGGCTGCCAGGCGGGGCGAGGAATCTACTGAGTGGAAAAACCCTGACTTTCAGTCCTATTGGTTCCCTAAGAATCCCAGAGCACTGGTTCCCCAGAGACCCACCCCCCAAAAAAGGCACCGTATCAGAGGGACTCTGGAAAACTTCGCATCTGGACACTGATTATCTTCATTCACGCTCCTTTGAGCTGCTGTCGCAAAGGTCTGGGGGTCTTTAACTTATTGCTTCCAAGGGCACAAGGCCATAGACCCTCCTGTGGGTCCCCGCCCTGTTTCCTCTGCCCAGACTTCTGCTGTATCTGGACTTTTCAGGGCCCGGCTCACAGCTGACAGCATGTTCTGCTGAACCCTGAGCCCACCTACAGTAGGGGTCTTGGCATCATCCCTCAATTCTCACATCCAACAACTTCATGAGAAAGAGAGCTAAGCAGGAGGATGGCGGCTCACAGCCCTGAGTGGGCTAGGGCATTACTATGAATGCCATCTGGTTAGTGATGGTTAAAATGAAATAAAATAAAATAACCTTTTATGTATCTGTCCACAAGAAAATGAAAGACATACATAAAGTCATAATAATGACACTACAGAATACTACACAGTTGTGCAAAAGAAAAAGCAGCTCCATTATAAACAATCTCCCAGAGGTAAATTTTAAGTGAAAAGTCAAGGAGCAGAATACGTGTTGACAAAGGAAGAAAATGCTATATGCAAGCGGTTGCTTGTGTACGCGGAAATGCTGGCATTGCCTTGGAATGACACTGGAGGTTGTGACAATGAACACAGAGGATTGGGAGGCTCGGGATGGAGGCAGAAAACAGGGTTTTTACTTTCTAGTATTCTGTGCCTTTTTCATTTGACACCATGCGTGAGGATCACCTAATCAAAAGAATGTTAAGTTTACAAAAGTGAACTAAGTCATATTTAACAAAATAAATCATACTAAGAATAGAATATGGGTGTAAAGGGCTCTGGCCAGTCAGAATAAAGACAGCTCTGTGACCCTGAGTCTTGGTTTCCTCACCCCTGAGGAGGAGGCGACCCCTGCTTGGCTGACCCATGAGTGCTGAGCTCCACGGTGACTGGCTGTTTCTGAATAGAAGCTCCGCTCTGCCTGCCCGGGACACTCAGGCCCAGCCCACAGCGTCTGCACAGGGTGGAAGTGGCCCGAGTGGGGTGGACGGGTACAGGAAAAGGCTCCCACCCAGACTGGCGGCTTCCCTGCTGGGCAGCACGGAGTCCTGCAGGCCAAAGAGCCACAGCTGCCTGCAATGGGTCTGGCGGATTGCATAGCTTCCCCCCGGCCTCCCATGACCACCACCCCAACACACCGCATAAAGCACACTACAGCCCAGCTCATACACCACTGCTCTGGCTGAGCTGGAAGCATCCACTGCGCTCTTTGGGGAAGGAAGACATCCTGCTAACCCCAGGAAGCAGAAGATGGGGTCTGGGGTAGGGGAGGACCCCAGGGTCCTCCAGTCCAAGTACATAACGAGCTTTTCCACCACCTCATCAGTAGGGACAGTCACACCCCCAAAAATGACACCAGGCTTTATTTCACCATACTGCCCCTCACATGTCACCACCCCTCGAAAGCTAGAGTGAGTGGGAATCACCCTTCTCATTTGATTTTGGGGGAGACTGAGGCACAGAGAAGTGAAATGACTTCACCAGACTCCTGCAGCGACCAAGAGTAGCCCAGCCCTGCACCCCTGCACAGCTCACCGCCCCTCACTCTTTCCACATCATCTTCCAGCCTCCCTTCGAAAAAGAACTGTGTTTCTTCTCAGCAGCTTTCTCCCAAAGCAGTGCAGGCTTGATCATGTCAGCAGTTTCCTGAAGCCTGGCCCTTCCCACTGAAGACCCTCAGGCTGCCTCCGAAGGCCAGGTGTGAACAAGCAGCCCCATGGGCCCTCTCGAGAGCAGCGCGTGTACACACAGGCCGGAGGAGGCCCAACTTGAACGCAACCAATGTTGAGAGCACCCGGCCCACAGGGAAACTTCAGGCCCCTCTCGGCTGCCGGCAACCTACCCCTTCTTCAGGTTTGTCACAAAGGCGCTCTGGAGGGCGGCTTCCAGGAAGTAGGTGAGCTCAAAGTCAACTGGGGGAGGGCCTTTCAGGTGCCGCGAGGTGCTGTTATTTGTGACCTGAGAAGGGAACCCAGAGACAGTTCAGAGGCTGAGGGGCGAGCGTGAGGGTCGCCATCCCAGGTCCCCAGCCGCCTCAGCCGTATGTGGTGTGCTTCTCAGCCAAACTCAACCTAACTCGCTTTAACTGAAAACATTTCTAAAGGATCCTCTCCCCATCCAAATAAAGGTGCTCCTGATAGCCCTACAAGGTTGGTTTTGTCTACATTTTAGGAAAGTGAGCTTCAGAAAATGCCTGAGATTGCAAAACCTGGTCCTCACACTCAGGTTTGGCCACGTTCCAAGCTATCTCTACCAGTTCTTGATTCAGCCATTCAACAAACACTTGCCATGCCTACCACATGACGGCCATACACTGGCTCTGCCAATCACCATGAGATGTAAGACAGCCCCAGGGCTGAGCTGTCCTTACGCCTCAGCTTTTAGAGCATTCACCCAGCCCCACAGAGATATAGGCCTGCCTTTATTGGGGCACCTCCCTTCTCTGACCCAATTAAAAAAAAAAAATCAATGAGTCATCCATCTTATCGTTCAGAAACCGAAGATTTAAAAGAGGTTCTTAGTTCCTCAGAGGTTGGGCTGGGTCTGAGGAGGGGCACAGCTCTGCATGAATACAGCCTTCTCCATCCCGTCGGCTCTTGCCCTCCCAGCTCTGAGGGCTGACTGTCCACTGCACTGGGCTCTGATTTCAGCCCTGGACACCATTATAGTTCACTGTCTTAATCCCCTTTTGACAGTCCGAAACCAATAATAATAATAAAAAAAAAGAGGGGAAAATACAAAAAAAGAAAACAGGAAAAAAAAAAAGAAAGTCCAAAACCTAGGCTTCCGATGGAACAGAACAGTCTCTTTTTTATCAAAGTTTCCTCTAAACCACATGCAATACAAATGTGAACTCTTCCTAAAAAGTTGCATGTGACCTCAACAAAGGTCAACTCAGGTCTCCGAGTAGACGTGCCAGAGTCCACATTCCTGCCCAGTTTTTGCTGAGCCACTTATACCCGTCTCCTTCCCCTTGAATTCCAACCAAGCAGGACTCTAAAGCAGGGACTGTCAACATGCAGGCGACCTGCCCTGCAGGGACAACTGGCAGTCTCCAGAGTCAGCTGTGGTTGTCTCACGGGGGCTAAGGCCATGCAGGCTGGCCTGGAGTGGGTACAGGTCAGGTGCTGCCGAATGTTCTACAACACACAGGACAGTCCCACAATAAGGAACTATCTGGCCCCAGATGTCAGCAGTGCTGAGGCTGAGAAGCCTGGCTACAGGGGCACTGACCTAGGCTGAGGAGGAACCCTCCAAAGGAAACATCGCAAAGGTGGGTGCTGGGTTCACATGTTGGCTTTTGCCCAACTAGATGAGGTCTGGATAATTCCTACACTCTGAGTCGCTTAGCTCAGGATCACCTTCCTCACCTGGAAACTGAGATTGATCTACTTTGCCACAGAACCTCCCATGTGACTTCTAGTAGACACCTACAAAACAGAATGTCTAGGCACCGCCCCCTCCAGTCCCCGCCCCCCAACATCATCAGGGATGCATTCTCAGGGTTCAACTCCTGCCAATGCCAGTTATTAGCTGTCTGAACTCTGAGAAGCTCTAAACCCGAGCTTCACTGCCTGGAAGGAGGGGTAACTTCAGCGCCCATTCCAGCTAATGGTGTGCGGGCTGAGCAGAGGAAAGCTGCGACTCAGTGCCTGTTAGCAGTATCTCTGTTGAGGGTCACCTGCCTTCCCCGCGTTAAGCCAGAGCCCTCTCGAAGGGGAGAACAGATGTAGTCATCTCATATGCTCACCTGTAATTGCTATCCTGCAGACTGTTCGTAAGGCCCTCCAAGAGAGGGGAGATGGGACATGAGGTGACCCGAGAACTTCACATTCCTGCTGGCACCTCTCTGCTGGCCTTTGAAAGGCTTGGTAAGCAGGACCAGGCTCTTCCTTGCCCTAGATCATCAGGGAGCAGCCAGGGCACATGGGACCCTGAAGATTGTCTACAAGAACCAGCCTGACTGCCCCTTCCAGGGTCTAGTTTCTAAACTTCACCCCTTTACAGGGATGAAGGCCATACCTACTCCCTGGAGCCGTGTGAGATATAACCAAGTTAATGGAAACAAATAGTGCTTTCACATTTGCTGAACAACAACTCACCAAGGAGGTTCCTGGCCCCTCACAGATGACGTGGATTCAGCTATTGCATAACTTTGACTGGGCAGTCAAGAGTCTCATTCTAACAGGATCAGCAAACTATAACCAGTTTCCCACAGATGCGTCCATCTCTGGGTGCAGATGGAGAGGGGGGCTTTTTCTAATTTGTATCAGGGTGGCCTCTAGGTGCAGTGGGCGTAGATACAGGTGCTCAATGGAGAGCAGCCATGACAGTGACGGTGCTGTCATCCCCAGCTCACCTTCTCCAGCTCCTGTAGAAACACCTGAGCGATCCAGGAGGCCCTCTCGAAACACGCAATCACTTCCTCCTCCCTCTCGGTCAGGCGGTGGCGGGATGCTATGGAGTTGGGGAGGCGTTCCAGAGAGAGGCCTGCAGGGGAGAGGGCATCTTAGACCTGCGCTGCTGGGGGTTCGGGTGGACCCTGACTCCAGGCCCTTCCCAAAGACCCAGGGTGGGCTCATCTGAGGAGACCAAGGCTCTGGAGCAGCAGGTGGGAGGCAGAGGTCCGTGGAGGGGAAGGAGGAAGCGGAAGCCATGATGGTATTAGCAGCAGCAGCGGAGTAAAGCAGTGGGCTGACGAGGAATCACACTGTGGTCACTCATGTCCAACCCCTGCCTGCTCTTCCAGCTCTTCCAGGAACTATCATTCCTGGAAAGACCCTCCTTCCAGTTGCTAGAAGAAAACATTCGCTCCCAGGCGCTCACCATTTCTACATTGGATAGTGGCTATTTACGCCTAGCTCTCCTTCCCACCAGTGGCTGAGAGCTCTGTGTGGACAAAATGTGGGTGTTCTGGGCTGCCATACTCCCCAGCACCCTGCAGATGCCTGAGTCACACAGGATTTATACACACCCTCTCGTGGACCAGTTTCGGCCTCACCTAAGTTATCCGCATCCAGGTCTTATTGCCCTGGATATCTGTTATTCTCAACTCCCCAGCATCTTCTCCCCATTCTTTCAGCAACAGCACCTCCTTTTCCCTTTGGGCACTCCTTCCACAGTCTCAGGAGGGTCATGACCCTAACCGACTGCCAGGGAAATACATGAACCAGCCGAGCCCACAGTCAGGCCAAGAAGAACCAACCCCGAGTTTTCACTTTTCCGCTGGGCTTGTCAGGCCAGTCTGGAAGTGCGAGGCAGCCTGCCTTGGGATGGAGCTGCATGTGAGGGTGGGGTCAGCACGGCTTACTTGAAAATGGTCCATGGTAAATTTTATTTTATATATTTTTTACTACCATTAAAGTTTTTGATATAAAATTAAAGCATCATTTTAGAGAGAGCGAAAAAAAGCCACATGCAGCCCCCTTAGCTAAAAGTTTTTAAGATGCCAAGAAGAACAAGCACTGATATATTTAGTAGAAGTGAATGCTACAAAGGAAAACAATGATATTTGGGTTCATTTTTTTCTTAAGTCAGGAAAAAGAATGAATGGCGAAAAAACTGAGTCCCCCTCCCCACCAAGTATAGACGAGGCCTGACAGAGAAGGGCAGATTTCTGGGGACACAGAGCACCCTGCCTGAAGCGCTACCACCCTGACACTTCCCAGGCTATGATCAAGGATCTGACCCACTGCTGCCACGTTTCCTGGTCCAAGTCTGTCTGTGTTGTGTTTCTGTCCCTTGTAACTATACAGACCTGACTAGAGAGCCCAGTCCTGAGCTGGCCTGTGGGCTCCCAATAGACAGAGCCAGCCCCTCTCACCTCTGTGCACCCCAGAACACACTCAGGCGTAGGTGCTCACCAGGACCAGACTCGGCTCTCACCTGCCCTCCTGCACCAACATCTCAGGACCGAGCTCCCCTCCTCCTCCTCTTTCTACCTTACCTCAGGCTTCCTCTTGCACGTGATGACCGCCTCGGCCTCCTAACTTGCCTCCCTGCCTCCGGTCTACTCCAGTCCACTCTGCATATCATCCCAAAGTGATGCTTGCAAAGCGCCCTTGCATTTGGGGGTAAGGTTCGAACCACTTGCCCTCCTCCCTCTGCCACTGAGCACACAGCACGAAGTAGGCACCCTGCAACTTGTAAGAGGACCCTCACCAAACCTGTTGCTTGGTGCCTGGCTCTTGGACTTCCAACCTCCAGAAGCCTCTGTGGTTATGGCACTTTGTTGCTACTCTTGGAGCTAAGACACCATGCTGACTGCACTCAGACTCCTGTTTCCAGCTGCTGACCTGGCTCAAGTTCTCCTCCTGCCTGAAGGTACCCCTCAGCGCAGCCCTCCCCAAAGGACCACCCACTTTCTGTCCCAGCCTCCTCCTGATAGGCCCTGGAACAGACAGTTACCACCCCCCCCCTTCCCCCCCCCGTCCTCTGGGCACAGGTCTATACTATTTCTATCTAACAGTTCCTACCCTTATTTACTTACACATTTGCCCCGGCAGCCTAAGCCTCCTTAAAGGCAGGGTTTGCGTTCACCCTTCTACAAGCTGGCACACAGTAGGCACTCAGCAAGCACCAGCAGGCTGGCTGAAAAAAGGGCATGTCTGATCCTGCCGGACAAAGTACAAAGTACTCGGCAAGCACTAGGTAAGGAATGACTGTTTCTCTTGGCTAGATTCCAACTCACAGGGATTCAGTGACCTTGCCCTCTGCCAGGCTGCAGTGTGAGCGAGCCCAAAGGTCAGGATGCCTCAGCCTGGGGGTAGGCAGGCACAGGACTCCTTGCTCAACATGAAGACTCAGTGACCCGGGTCACCAAATGTCAGTGTAACTCCAGTCAGTGATTCAACCTAGAGGGAAAAGCTCTTCCCCTGAGAGAACTAAAGGGGAAGGCCTAGAGGACACGCTGCAGGAGACACACAAGGCAGACAGGAAGGGCAGGACCCTGTTCACTGCCAGTGGTGCCCCGCCAGAAGGTGGGACGAACACACAAACCACTCAGAGGCCTGCGGATGCCAGGTCGACCAGCCGACTCCTGAAGACACAGGTGGATTTGTTTCAGTTCTCTGCCCTGTCTGCACCCCCACCCCCTCATCCCCCATAAAAGCTGCCGACCCGCTTCCCTTGCCTACTTCTGGACCCAGAACTGAGTCCAGATACCGGCTGCTTAGCAAGTCCAGGCTGCCAGACCCAAGTGTCCAGAGGACTGGCCACTGCAGAGCAGAGAATACGGTTGTCCTGGGGCCCTGCCTTCCCTGTGCTTCAGTAGGCCTTCCAGTGCCAGCGGGACCTCTCCCACAGGCTTCTCACCCTCTATGCTCCACCTCCTTGGAAGCTCAAAGCAAAACCACCTCCTCCCTGAGGCCTTCTTAGGCCTCCTGACCTTGGAACAGCAGACAGCTCAGCTGCACTCCCCCGCTGCGCCTTCTTGCTGTGGTGTGACGTCCCTCTACCCCATTGATCTTCGCACCCCGTGAGAGCCTGGCCTGGTGGTCAGTGAGTGAATAGACAGGCGCAGAGACCGCAAAGACAGATGTGCTCGCTTGCCGATGCTGAGTGTGGAGCCCCCCAGGCAGGACTCTCCCTTCCCCTTCAAAAATGCCTCAAACTGGGCCCTCCCTCCCTGGTGGCACAGTGGGTTAAAGTGCAGCACTGTAAGCTGCCCACAGCCACTTTCATGTGAGTTCGATCCCCACCCTGGAGCTGACCCACATGGGCAGTAGACCTCTCCTGTCTGACCCGCTGCTCCCCTCAGCAGTGTACTTTGTCAGTATGCCTGTTCTGCTCCCCACTCTGTTTCTGGCGAAGCCTCTCACTGCCCCTGCACCTCTGGCCTGCACCCCAGTTCTCCATGCATAAATAAATAAAGTCTTTTAAAAATGAAAAAAAAAAAGTGCCTCAAACTGAGGTGTATTTATACAAAGGAATACAAGTCAGAAATAAACAAGAGGATAAAATTTTGATATGGACAACATGAATCTCTCGTTAGTATGCTTGGCAGAAGCTAGATATAGAAACTACATGCTGTGTAGTTTACATGACAGTTAAGAAAATCAAAAGACACAAAATTAATCTACAGAAACAGAAAGAACCAATCATTACCCGTTGTGGAAAAAGAACCTTCTACGGAAACTTTCTTGGGTGGTGGAAATGTTGTCTTTATTGGGTTTTGGTTACATGGATATTTATATGTATCCATTTAAGGTCTGTGCACCTCACTTATGAAAGTGTGTCTCAAAGTAATGGACACAGTCCATTTATTTAAAGGAAAGGGCTCCCACTCAGAGAACTGAATGGACAAAATAGAGGTGCTTTGGTCATTGAGTCTGTCCTCTAATTCCCAACATAGGTAAGACCACAAAGTTTTCTGGAGTTGGCAACAGCTTCTTACTGGGGCTAAAGTCCAATTGCCAGTTCTCCCCTTATTGGGGGGGGGGCTTCTGCACCTGCTTTTCTCTCTTTGACTCATGGGAAAGTAGGTCCATTTCCCCCTCCACAAACATCTAATTGAAAACCCTTGAATTTCTGGGAGTGTTTCTGCACAAGTGCCAGGTGACACCACCTGACCCAGGATGGAGCCAGGCTCTTGATGGTTAGAACACAGCTTTGTCAGGTGGCAGGAAGTTAGGGGCTGCCAGGAAACTCTGGGTCCTGCCTCATGATTCCCACCAGCAGAGGGGTCTTTCTGTGAAAACACCCAGCTCCACTGGGTGCCAGGGAGGGCTCAATTTTCTAATAACTTGCAGAACTTTCGGTTTGGAGGCAAGCTGATCCTGGCACAGCCAGGGGTTCAACACCCAGCTTGCCCAGTCGCCTCAGTCTGATATGACTCATCACCTCCCAGACAGGCGCCCTTCCAAAGCCCCACCCGCGGAGCCCTGGGCCCTAGAGAAGAGGTGGAGAGCACACAGCTTCCTCTACAAGGGAACTTTCCAGATGAGGGGACACTTCCTCGCATCTATCTGCCTGGTCCAAGAGCACAGGCCATAGAGGGCTAAGCCCAGTGTTGGGGGAGGGGAGAGGAAGAAACGCCAGTCATTGCTCAGTCCTCAGAGAGAAAGCGTCAAGGCCAGGTGGGGAAGAATCCCCACATGTCACATTCAGAAGTGGGTAACTGTGGCAGTGGAAAACGGTGAGGCAGCCGTGGAAAACAGCCTGGCAGGTCCTCAAAATTAAAAATGGAAGTACCAGGTAACCCAGCAACTCCGCTTCTGGGTACAGACCCAGAAGAACTGAAACGAGGGTGTCAGAGAGGTATTTGTGCCTCCACGTCTAGAGCAATACTATTCGCAACAGCCAAAGGGAAGAAGCAACCCAAGGGTCACTTCTGGGTGAGTGGACGAAGCTAAGGCGGTGGAGGTGTACAGGGGGACATCCTTCAGTCTCACAGAAGGAAGTCAAGTCCTGCCAGAGGTCTCCTATTAATAAATGGATGACTCCAGAACATTACGCTGAGTGAAATAAGTCAACCACAAAAAAGACAAGTA